ACCCTAAGATCATGACCTGAGCCGAAAGCAGACGCTTAACAACTGAGCCACCCAGGTGCCCCAAAATTCATGTTTTTAAAAAGATACAAAATATAGTACATGAAAACTTTGTATTATGATATAGTCATAGGACCCAACAATATCCTTTTACACAGAAATCTATCAAATGTCTAGGTGAGCCACATAATAATTACCAAATATCAGATAAGTTACCTGCCTAATATTGTGTTGTTCTCTTTAGGAGTAGAAAAAGATAAAATCAATAAGAGCTTTGGAAACACAAAAAGGAGGTATAGGAAACAATTCTGTAGCAGACAGAAGGTTCAGTTCAAAGGTTTTCAATTATTTTAATAAATATTTGCCATTATCCTCTGAATGTAGTAGTGCCTGCTAAGGTTTGTAAGCCAATATTTAAAATGTCTCATTTACTGTGTAGTAATTACACACTGGGCCAGATTTAAACAAGGCAACCCACACATTTTTCATTGCCAAAATATGTCAAGGTTAAAAAAAGATGCTGCACTTTTTCTGCCAAAAATCTGAATAACATAAAATATGTTTATCATTTCAAAGCTTAAAATTAATATATAAACGAGGTAATTAGGCAGACAAAAAGCTGACAGCAAAAATTTTGTTAGATTTCTGATGAATAATTTTCAAAATAATATTTGTGTATTTTATACAAAGAGAATGAAAAACTTTATATTTTAAAATTAAAAGAAACAGACTTTCCCTCCAAAGGTGACTTACTGAATCATTCCGACCAAAAAAGGTATATATTGCATACAAGTAGTAATCAAATAGCTGAGACATGAAATGGATAACATCAAAGGCAATCGGCTTAAGAATGTTCATCATCTGCATATATTTACCTGAAAAGAAAAAAAAAATCAAAATCAGAAAAAAATTAAAATCTGTTAGTCTATCATTATAAGAGACAATCAAATTGCACACCCAGAGCAGGTGAGTTTTATGCTATAAATGACACCTCAATCTATTAAAAAAAAAAAAAAACTTTACCAAAATATATATTTTTAATGAACTATTACATTCCTCAGTCCCTAGCCATGTTTCAAGTACTCACTAATCATTTGTGGCTAGTGGCTACTATATTGAACACCACAGATACAGAACAGGTACATCATCTTGGAAAGTACTGCTGGACAGCACTGATATACATACTACTTACAAAAAAGTTTTTATATCATTATATTTTACTGTCTGTCAAATATTCATGGGATATCTATGCTCTTCTACAAATGACACTGCACAAACACACAACACAGTTCCACATTCTTGGAGATTCCATTTAAAATAATTTCCTCAAAAATGTTTAGGTATAATAAAACAAAAGACAATGTACTTGAGAAAAAGCATTTTTTTTACCCCATAAGCTTATATACACATAGCAAAAGTAAAAAGGCAAGAAGAAAAAGGATACATGGAAGGTTTCCCCTGAATTCTAGCCCTGTGAAATCTTGTGTCAGAGGCCAAGGACATTTCTTTATCACTGCATCACTCAAGAGCTCAATATTCTCAAAGTGCCAAGAAAATGTCTTCCTCATTCCTTCCTTTGGGAGATGCCAATATGACATTCTCTTTTCTCTAAACATATGATGCAGTTAGGGGAAAAAAATTGAAAAACCAAAATTTCTGCATTTATAAACTTGTTATGTATTTGAAGGGTGCATGGGAGATGGGCTGAATCAAGTAACAAATAATAACAAATCCCTAATTGTGTTTCTGTTTTATGGGGAATAACAGGGAAAAGAGCGCATCCATAAAAAATGCTCTTCTGCAGAAGATGTTAAAACAGGCCATTTGCCTAATTTCCAAATGAGCAAATAATTCAGGTGCTCGCTCTACTTAATGTAACTGTTATAAATTTTAAATTGGTACTACTGAAAACACCATGACTCAAGAGAAACACATTAACTGCAATAGAAAAAAATGACAAATTTACTCTAATGGAAATGTCTACTATTGAAACCATCTATTATTTAAGAACTCCATACAGCTGTCTTAATTTATATGAGCGATGATTCTAAATAATACTCAGATAGTCAGGAAGAGAAATACACACACCAAAAAGTAGAAACCATTCAACTCAGATTCTATTCTTACTCTTATTTACAAGTCTATTGTTTCAGAATCATCTTTTATAATTCTTTCACACAGACATTTCTTAAAAATCACAAATGAAAAATATTTGAAAATTATGCTCCTAGAACATTCTGGATCACTATGCAGATATTTATCAACTACAAACAAGCAGTTTTCAAACTGCAACTATTTACACATAAAATAATGTGACACCATGGAAAAAAAAGGAAAAATACTATGATAAGTTATTTTAACTTGTAAAAGAAAAAAAGAGAGCTAATAAGTAAAATGAGGTAGAATGCAAGTATCTGGGTTGATACATATCCAGAACACAAAGCTCCTCTCCACTACTAATAATAAATTAGCCATTGTTCATATAATTAATCTTAAGAATATATAAATGAAAAAATAGGTAAAAGCTATTTTAAATGTTGCATTCAAAAGAAAAACTAGATAAAAACCCACTACTCTAAAAAAATTTTTAAACATATTTATATTCATTTATTCATTTAATATTCAACAAAGACTCTTTGAAGGCTTACTATGTCCTTGGCTTTGTGTTAAGACACAAGGAATTAGAGTCCCTGCTCTCACACCTTAAATGGTCACACAAGGAAGGCAGCCATTGATAAGCAGGCTGCTGGCATATTAAAATGTGTAAGAATAAGAACTCTGTCTTTCCAGCTCATGAGGTCACAGTAGGCATTTGGAGGCCTGAGGAGGCTTATGTACCTCCTCAGAATTACTGAATTAGAAGAATTTTACAGTGGATTAAGCCTGTATATATGAAGAGAAAGGAATGAGGAGGTAAAGGTGAGTAGGTATGATCACCAGAAAATGAGAAATCTCAAAAAATTTCTAAACCAAGGGTTGGTAAACTTTTCTTGTAAAGAGTACATCGTTCAGGGCGCCTAGGTGGCTCAGTTGGTTGGGCGACTGCCTTCGGCTCGGGTCCTGGTCCTGGAGTCCCGGGATCGAGTCCCGCATTGGGCTCCCTGCTTGGCAGGGAGTCTGCTTCTCCCTCTCTCGCTCCCCTTCTTGTGCTCTCTCACTCTCACTCTCTCTCTCAAATAAATAAAATCTTAAAAAAAAAAAAAAAGTACATCGTTCAGGCAACTACGGCAACTACTCAGCTCTGCTGGTCTCCATTCCAACTACTCAGCTCTGCCTTTGTAGCACAAAAGCAGCCACAGACAACATATACACAAATGAGCATGGCTGTGTTCCAATAAAACTTTATTTTATAAAAACAGGTAGCCTAACTGATTGGACCTGCATGCTGTAGTGTCCCAGCCCCTGTCTGGATGACAGGTAAGAGATGGGAGCAGGGAGCAAAGATGACCATGAAGGAGGTGAAAGCTATTCTTGTAGGACTGTGATTGCTTAGACTCAGTGGGTAGAGCAAGAGGACAGGAACAAGAAACGGAGCTGAAAAAGGATGAATTAACTGAAGGTTCATGTACGGGATAAACTACCAGTCAGCAGGCCCTCCTCTACCACTATCCCTCAACAACATCAGAGTACAGGCTGCCAGGCTGTTCCCACAGACAAAAACAAAAGAAAACGAAAACTCGTGGGATTTCTCTCTAAAAGAAGGAAACAGGGGCTCCTGGGTGGCTCAGTCAGTTAAGCATCTGCCTTCAGCTCAGGTCATGATCCCGGGGTCCTGGGACTGAGCCCCACGTCGGGCTCCCCGCTCATTGCTTCTCCCTCTCCCTTTGCCCCTCCCCCTGCTCCTTCTCTCCCACTCACTATCTCTCTCAAATCTTTAAAAAAAAAAAATAATAGAAGGAAACAAAACAAAAAAAATTGAGCAAACTTTAAAAAATAATAAATTAGGAAGATGAAGGCTTCTAGGGTAGCTGTTGGCACCACAGATTAAAATCTACCCAATTCTAGAAATTTGAGGATCTGTCCCCGTAAGGTAAAGACTGCTAATAAATCCACCCAGCCCTACCCTGCTCTATACAAAGTTCCCAGTCAGGATTCCTACTGAAAAGGGGCAGTGAGAGGGTAGCTCTCATTACTCAGCAGGGGACACCCACAGCAGCTACCTAGGCCTTCTATTTTGGATATGAATAGGTCATCAAAAATCACCAGGCCCTGGAGGAAAACTCAGAGAGTAAAAGTAAAAAGAAAAGCTGATCCCAGAGAAAACAATTAATTCAAGCTAAACAAATATAATAATTATGTAAAATCCTATAGCAGAAAAATATGGGAGGGAAAAAGAGAATATGGAAGGGCTCTTAAAGATTTCAAAAGTGATTTTTAAAGTTAAAAATTGAAGAAAATAAATGAAAAAAGGAAGTCTTCTAGAAGGTACAGCAAAAAGACAAAAATATGGAAAACATTAGAGAAAATATGGGAGACAGGAAGGGGCCAGCACCCCAGAAGGGAGGGCCTCAGGCCCCTTGCTAAGAGGGCTCTTGGCTTCATGTAAGAAAGAATACAGGAGCAAGCCATTTAGAGGAAGGGACAAAGATTTATTAAGCATAGAAGTAAGAAAGCAACTACTTCATAGACAAGGTAGCAGTCTCTCCTCCCAGGTGAGGAAGAGGACCCCCCCTTTGACTCTAACAAAGGGTTTTATAAGTTTTATTTAAGTTAGCTAATGGTATAGGGAGGGGTTTACTCTTTAACTTTGGGTTTATCATTCACATCGGGCAGTTAGTTTTTCCATTATCTTAAGGTTATGGAATTACCCACAGGGAGCAATTTTAAGAATGTCCAGGCTGTATGGCTTTTACTGCCAGAGTGGGTCTTACGGTTTTCCGTCAGTATGATCTTATGATTCTTCATGACCTACTGACTTTTAGGTTAAGGTTCAGCCTAAAAACAAAATGACTTTACTTTGGTGAACTTGTCTTCCAAGCCTCCCTTCCCTCCTGTCTCAAGATAACTGACAAAAGCATCTCTTCCCAAATGATCATCTGCGAGAAGTTCTTATTCTTGCTTCTAACCTATCCTGTAACCTCTCTGAACTTTGTCTAGGTAGAAGAATTAACTTTCCCAATTTCCTCTACTGGTTGTGAAGCATGAAAAGAGCCTCCTGGCTCTAGGATCAGACAATCTGGGTTCTACCAGTTAGCAGCTGTGTGACATTAAGGCAAGTTATTTATCTCTGGGCTTTAATGATTCATACATAAAAAGGGTACTGTGAAGAATTCATGAGAAAATACATGTAGAGTGTTTACACTGCCTATAACAAGGGAACAAGAACTCTTAGCTACTGCTGTTATTTTAAAATAATTATAGTTATGATGAATGCAATAAGGGAGAATTATAGAGTGCTATGTAAAAGAAACCTAACCTGATGAGGAAAAGCTTCAAAAGGGAAGCGCTGTTTAAACTATTATCCTAAAATCTGGACCAGGAGTCCAGTACACTCATGGGGAGAAGCCACAGGAAACCAACCAAAGAACAGCATGGAGGAGAACTAGAACCAAGAGGAACAGTGGGCCTGCCTTACCCAGCTCATCAGCAGGGGGCACAGAGAGCCATGCCATCACCACCTGAAAGGTGTCCCAGGGAAATTCAATTAGTGAGCCCCACTCCTATGCAGAGGAGTAAATACCAGGGTACAGAGAAGGCGCTGAAAGTGTGTGTTCCTCAACTATGGATCAGGACAAGAGAGGAAGAAAATGTGTTTCTCCAATAGTTGAGATGTTAAAAACTAAGGTTTGTCAGTCCCGTACATTGGGCACCTATGAAAGTGAACAAGTGCTTGGCTGTATGCTCTATATGCTGCAAAGGTGACTCCAACTCCAAATGTTTTCATCTATAGGAGCTGACAACCTGATGGGGAAGAGCAAGAACAGAATCCAAGCTGGAAGGATGTTCATTATTTTTATCACAGTGCAGTTAGTTGAGACATCATCAGTGGATATAAATAGCACATAAAAGTGAACTAGAAATGCTATAAATGAGGCATAAAGGAAAGGAAGGAAAAGTCAGTTCAGCTCAAACAATTTAGAAAAACGCATTGAACAATGTGAGGACCAGAGTAAAAAATTAGTAAGCTAAGTCCTTAGCTTTTATTCCATTCTTTGAGAGCTTTTAATCGATTATTTTATTCTATTATTCTATCACTGTATTATTTATTTTTATTATTGTTTGTATATTCTTAGCCCCACCCCCAAATCTCCAATATCATCTTCTTGTACATTGTACTGAAGGATGACACTTGGATCATTCTCTCAAAATATCATGTTGTATATACAGCTACCAGCTCAGAAAGTGTTTTAAAACTGTTTATTTCATATAAATGACAAAAGTATTTTTAGAGAAATAGATATATTGGAATGTAATCTAAACAATGATAAATTTTTTCCTTAAACATTGCATATGAAAATATTAAGTTTCTTAAAAGATAACTTTATTCTGGTTTCATGTTAAATCTGGATGCATGATGTGCTGGTGTGTTATTTTTTCAGCTGCTAATGTATTAATTTTATCCTACGGTCTGTAGTTTTTACAAGCATGGATTTTGGCAACCTATCTTCTGCCCCTCTCAGACCTATCATACCTGCTCAAGTGAGAGCTGCCTCCAGGAGAGAGAACTTTGAATAGCAAGGCTATTTCAGTGATGAGACACATTCCTTAAAATTTCTCTGCCTCTGTCTGCAAGAAATTGTCAGGCTGACAGAATTTTCTCCTTACACAAGCAAGGATTCTGATTAGTTCTCTGTACTTGTGAACGGCTCCCTGGGCCTTTCTAACAGATTTAGGCACCACCTGGGGCTGGGAAGCCCCATTAACACTTTTTTGTTTAATCTCTCCTAATTACCTGCCAAATAAATACTACTTGAAGAGGACATTTTAAATATGCCTTTAGTGTTCTAAAATGTGCCTCCCAACTATTGAGTAATTAGTTCCTTCATCTTCCCAGGCACCCAAAATTAATCAATCTTATTTACACAACTGTACTTCTGGCTTTGTAAGAACAGACATTACCTTTGCCAGTTTATTATCTTCAAGCACCTCTATGCAGTAACAGGGGATAGAATAGCATTTAGTGGTTGGAGACGCCTTAGTGAGTGGTTCTCTTAAAGCTCTATTTTATGAATATGTACAAACTGAAGATAAAGACATCCCAGGGAGAGAAAGTGGTAGGCATAAAAGTCTACTGGAGGGAATCCCAGCTCTAAATGGGAAGATGGGAGAGTTAAAAGCATAGTAGGCATTGTTTCCTAATTGCAATTCTAGTAAAAGATCTGGTGGTGGTGAAGGCTGAAATTAAAATGGTTAGATTCTCTTCACTGAGTAAGGTTTTATTCAGGCTGTTCTGCTTTATAGGGCTGACACACCAAAGGCCCCTAAAAATGCAACTTTTCCCAGTTGCTTAAATCCACTACTAGAAAACAATGTCCACTATGTCAATGAGTAATCCTTAGATAAGAATTTGTTGTTACTGACTTCTGAATTTAGCACCAATAGCACATTTCTATCGTTATTCGATCCCCTTCTTACATAATGAGAAGAGCAGAATGCATTGTTTCATTTCCTTATGTCTACCAAGAATTGAAGATTTGCATTTGTTGTCTGCATTTAACTGAATGAAACGTGATTTCCCCCTCCTCAATTTTGTGTTAGCCTTATTTTTGATTTGATTCTACTAAATATATGTCTTTTAGAGTAAAAGCAACATGATGACCTCTAGCTCTTTTTGAACTAGGTGAAGTAAAAAATATAAATCACCACTTCCATGGGGTTGATTGTACTATTTTCCCCAATTATCTCCACCCACTCCCCTTCCCTGTAAGAAGATTATGCATCCTTGTCCAATGCCCTGAACTTGTAGTGCCCTCCTGGGGCAGAAGCATATTTCTCTCTCCAATAGTTAAGCCTGACTTGCCATGGCCAGGGACTTATGGCGGAGGAAGTCAGGGTGCCACATCAGAGCGGAAGCCTTAAGAGTCATTACATGGTTCAGCTCTTGCTCTTTTCCCCATGTTCCAAACTGGTGCTATTTTTTCAGCCTGCATCTCAGAATGACACATGGAACAGAAGAAGTAAGGTGATCAGGAGCCAATATGCATCATGTAAACTTTTGTGGTTGAAAGTCACTCATCGGGGGGCCTGGGTGGCTCAGTTGGTTAAGCAACTACCTTCAGCTCAGGTCATGATCCCAGGGTCCTGGGATCGAGCCCTGCATGGGGCTCCCTGCTCCTTCCTCTCCCTCTGCCTGCCACTCCCCACTGCTTGTGCTCTCTCTCTCTGTCAAATACATAAATAAAATCTTTAAAAAAAAAAAAAAAAAGCCACTCATGTGTTACAGTGGTTTGTTCCTTCAACATAACCAGGCAAAAGATGAATTCATTAAACTACATCTCAAGCAGCATGTTCAGAAACCAAAAACTACATTGAGTCCAAAAGGCTGAGGAGGATGACCAGGATTTTGGAATATTTATCAGTGAGAACCGCATGAGGAAAATGAGCACACTCACCCTGAAGAATGAACTGGGGGAGCATAAGGGAAGAAGGACAGTATAACTACCACCTACACCTGAAAAGTCATCACAGGGAAGAGTAGGAGAAAAAAGTATAGATTTACTCTTTTCGCTTTTAAAGGTGTAAATGAGACCAACAGAATTACAGAGAAAAAGAAATTCTGGTTTATCATAAAGAGGAGATTTCTACCAATTAAATCAGCCTAATAGTAGAATGAGTAGTCTTACAAAATAATAATGTATCCACGGACTGCGAGACATGAAACAAAGGCTAGCTGGCCACTACAACTTGGGGGCATTAGATAAAGAAATTCTAGTTTTACAGGCATTTATAGCAGGTGAGCTCTCAGAACCCTTCCAGTTTCCGTTCTATAAATTCCACAGAGTAACTAGAAAAGCTAATTTCCCTAGCAATGATCAGCCAAAAAACACTTTTTAGAATCTGTCATTTTTCTGTGTGTCATGAAAATATATACTTTTCCTTTTCCTGCCAACTCATTACTTCTTTTCCACCATTTTTCCTAAAGAAAGTGGGACTTCTAAGAAACATTTTTGTCTGCTTTACCCTATTCATTAACAAAATTTAGAAATATCTTCAAGAACACAGACCATTTTATCAGAGCCAAGAGTAATCAAACTAGAGAGCAGGACATTATCATCTCCTTATAAACAGAATACGGAGATTTTTTTTTCTTAGAACACATTACAACTCCTGACTGGTATAGATGACTTAATTAATTTGAGAAGATATCTCTATAACTTATTTGTCAAATGTACAGACTTGTGAGATATAAAGGTTAAGATGGCATATAAAATGCTAAAATACTGACATTAAAAATTCCACATCATCTTCAAACCCAAGTATTTTAAATGGCATTTCTTCATGTTATTTGCCTTCTACAAAATCATCAATAAAGGTCTTATCTGTAATAAGAACAACTCTTCCTATGGTGTGAACATTCAGCTTATAGAACTCTTGTGTCTGAAAATACCAGAGAATCACTATTCACTCTGCCTATTTGACAGGAAGATTGTGAAGATCAATGAAACAATTAAGCACAAAATATTGTGTAAATGTAAAATGGGTACTATCATCATCCTACATATACCTCCAACTCACATAGAGAATTTTTCATTACATTTCAATTAACTGAAATATTTTAGAAAAAGTAGAAGACACAAATACTAAGTAGTTAACCAAAAAAGAAAAACTAACATTGTTAGTATTATACTATTTGAACAATTATGATGAGAAAGCACTGACATATGACAATATTAAAACCTTCCTTATGGTGGGCACTGCAGTGTACAATGAAAACCCCAATAAAGTAACAAAAGTAGACTAATTTAACTAATAGTGTTTTTTTTTTTTTAAAAGGTGGCTACTTACCAACAAGTCTTATTACATTCAATGTTGTATTTGTTAAGATGGGTGCATTCACTTTATTTAGACTATAATCTGACTTCTTCCTGCTTTTTAGAGTTTCTCTAGAAACGCTTAATATGGAAAAACAAAACAGAGTTGCAATTAGGGTTGTCAACTAGTAAATCAGTAAGTTATTCCAATTAGGATCTATCTTTCATTCACTAATTAGTTACTGAAACTGTTACCGTGTGTCAGGTGGGGATATAGAAATGATCCTCCTGTCCTTATAGAGCTTACAGCCCAGAGGGGAAGAGAAATTCGTAAGTAAAGAAATAAAGTACCATACTGTATTTCTTTGATTCTAAGACATTCATTATCAACCATTAAAAGAAGCTATGTCACTTAAAAAAAAAATAAAAAACAAAAAACAGATGTTCCAGGGAAATTATATATCAAATGTACCAAGTATCCTGATTTCAGACTTATAAATATGAAAAAATACCCTCCTTAGAATCTAAATCTAACATCTAAAGTATAGGGGAAGATGATAGAGTCTGGGGTTGGGGACGACACCAGGTTCAAAGAAAAAATTGAAGTTATATGGTAAGTACACAAAAAAAGGGGATAATATGTAATAAGGTCAGAGGTAGGAGAAGTGAGTGTGCTCAGAGAAGCACAAAGAATTCACATGGAGAATGAGTGGGTTGAGGGAAAAGTGACACGAAAAGAGGTAAAGAAAGGCCAGATCACTGAAGGCAATCAAATCTAAAGAGTATGAACCTAACCCTGAATGCAAATTTTAACCAGGAAAATGACATGAACAAATTTTTATACAAGAAAAAAAAAATCAAAATTTGTATCCAAGAGGGATTAGGAGGGGGCAAAACTAGAGACAGAAAGCCAAGGTAAGAGGGCTGAGCCAATAATCTGGCACAGAGAGGATTTTTGCATGAATCTGGATGGTAGCAGTGAAATACAAGAAATTTTGATAAATTCAAGAGATACTCTGAAGTTGGAATTGATACTAATTGACTGCATGCAGTTTGTAGTTTATATTATTCATAGTTCTTAGCGGTAAGTTAGGACAGTTTAGGAGGGTAACTGTCTGTATAACATTACCAAAAATGCAAATATATACATATATATTGGCAGACACTATCCTACACGTTCATTTCAATTAGAGCTTTTCTTTCAGCCAAAATATACCCAAAACATCCAATGAAGAAGTCCAACAAAAACAGTTCTATTCTGTTCATAATGGACCATAGATGGATTTAAACATCACACATACATGAAAACAATTTTTCCTAGTTCATATATCTACAATCACATGAGCTGCTCATTTTTGAAGAGAGAGATTATATCAATCAGGGTTTCAAATTAATTAGGTACTAACTAGGTACTTTGGGGGCAAAATATACTTAAATCTATCATTAAAATTTAAGTATATTTATGGTCACTAAATGTCTGATACTTAGTCATGAAATTAACTCACTTGCATATAAGAATCAGGCCCATTTAACAGGGAGAAGGTGACAAAAAATTCTTATGTAATTATCATAGTTTTTGAAGAGGACAATTTATCACAGAAATAAAAGAACGAAGGAAACTTAACAGAAGGCCCAAATAGTGAATGTAATTGACCCTGGAAAGATGAGTGGAGACTTTCTGTATTTACTAGATTGAGGTAGGAATTCCACATGCAAGACAAATAACTACTTTCCTCCTTGAGGTTTTCTAACCTACGTGAAGCAGGAATTGCCTCTAAAGGCAATACTGATTTTATAAATCAGAAGTTTGTTTTTTTGCAAAAACCACTGCTCTCTAAATTAAGAGCTCTTTGATTATGCCCAATATCAAAAAACTATATTTTCAACCTTTCAGCAATTTAAAACATATTGACTTGTCACATGACATCAAAAGCTACCGAAATATTTAATTTTTTTTCCCTAACATTTAAAGGAAATCCTTTATTTAAATGCATAACATAAAATGTGAAATACCATACAACCTAAGAACAATTACCTTTTCACAGGCGCATCACCTGTTTGCTCATCCACATAATCTCGTTTCAGTTCCTCAGGAACATCACTGTCACTGTCATACTCCTGATAGGCACTTTTTTCTTGTTCATCAGATTCATACTGAAGAAAACACAGTATATTCAACAATGAGTATGAAAAGCCAACATTTCTTGGAGTCTTTCAACACAATAAGAGTATCCAATTTTTAAGAAGTAGTTTAGGGAAGAAAGTTCTTAATAACTCATCTCTAATTTTGCCATCAAGAATATTAACTTTCCATTTTCTTCTTCTTCACCCATCTTAACCATCAAAAGAAAAAAAGGAAAATAAAATACATTTTATGCCTACAAAAGCTCCTAAATGTCTCCCCCAAAAATCAAATCTCCATATAAAGAAAACAAACAAACGAACACAAACATCATGCTAGGCCTTTAGGAGAGGAAAAGAGTGTACATCTGACCAAAAAACAACAACAACAAGAACAAAACCTCTTCTCTTCCTCCACGTGGTTTCATCATACTTACTTCCATTTTGCTAATTCACTATAAAGAGGCTGAGTATACAATTCTGGCACCGTGGAAATGTTAATTCAGCGTAATAAACTCTCACAACACACATGCTAATGTCCTAATTCATTATGATGAGATTTAATTCCAAGGGAGCCTTAGAAAATTACACTGAGCACTGAGGGACTACTGAGAGCAAGGACGAAAATGGCGGATTTCCTCCTGAGAGGAAGGGTGACTTCCTAACACTGTCATCGTCTTTATGGCAACATGGCCCCATGACAGCATGGGGGGACAGTGGAGTCCATGCACAGGAAAGAAAGCGGCAGCAGCATTATCGCTTAATATTATAAATTAATATGATTAAATCATGGCTAACATTTCTTGTGTTAAGTGCTAAGTGCTTTCATAAATTTTCTCACTGAATCTTCAGAACAATTCTGTAACCAAGTTTATCCTCATATGCCAGTTGAGATGAGTATGAGGACAACATGAAAAGAAGTTGGTCCCCTAATTCAAAAACCATTTTTTGAGAGCTTAAAGCAGTGTGATAGGTCATAGTAAGATGTGGACCCTGACTCTGGAAAGATTAGATCACACATTAATAACTACAAATGAGCATTCCAGGCATTCTCATCCACCTGTACACACTGTGATCCTAATAACCTTCAGAAAGGGGATCCACACACACCAGGCTCTCCTGGCTATAACAAAAAGCTTCACAATTCTACAGTACAAGAGATCATCATTTTTGAGGATTCTGTATTTTTGCAAATTTCCGTACTTGCTAAATTTTATTTGTAACCCCAACATTAATACTCTGTGACACTTTCACAGTCAATCATGGATATGTACAGAGTATGCAGAAACTTTTGAGTTATCCAACATGCACGTTCCTAGCTGAGTGCAAACAAGGTGACGCTCTACCTTCTTGCTTCAGCTTTCCTACTTAAACACATGTCCTTTTCATAGTCTAGTGCCACATTTAAAAAAACATGTGTGGTTTTTGCTGGTGATTTCCCTGTTTAGAAAGGCCCCTAAGTGTAGGACTAAAGTTTTGTCTAGTGTTCCTAAGTGCAAGACTGTAATATGCCTTATGGCAAAAATACATGTATTAGATAAGCTTCATTTCAGGCAGGAATTCTAGTGCTGTTGGCTGTGGGTTCAATGTCCAATACTATATATTAACTTAGATGTCTTCAAGCAAAAATACACATAAAACAAGGTTATACACTGATCAGTTGATGAAAATGTTGTGATCAAAGGCTCACAGAAACCTAATCCTGTATTTCACTTAGGAACAATAGTTCTGTATTTGCTAATTCAGTGTTCAGAGGGACTTTATAGAACACAACTGCCACGAATAATGAGAATCGAATGCTATGTGAGATTTAAATTAGCAAATTACCAGTACAGAGGGATATATTATTTCAAAAATATTGAAAAGACTTTTAATTCCTTCCAGTTTAGTGTACTTTAGAGAGGCAAAGTGTCACTAAGAATCACTAAATTGTAATTGTAAATATGGCTTATTATGAAATAATTTCTACTTCATGATAAAACATGACAACAATACACTTTCATGGCAATATTTTTTAAAATTATATCTTCACCAAACAAAAAAGAAAATGCCAAAACTAAAATACATACACAAATTCAACAGATTTTCATCAAATCTGAACAGTTTTCACTTCAGCTTCATCAAATCTAAAACAAAAACCATATAGGGTCCCCTGGAAATGATGAAGATCAGAAGGACCCATCCAAATTAAATACTATAAAAACACAGATAACTGTGAAGTAAACATTCACTCATTGTAAATATAGGAAAACTGAGGGTCACAGAGTTAAAATAAGTTGCCAAGGGCCACACAGTTAATAAATAATAAAGGTGATATTTATTCAACTGCCTTAAAATCCTTTCCATTAACTCACACAACCTAAGTTACATTATGGTTTTTGAGCTGCTCAAAGTGTTAAAACATTGTACTTCTAAATCCTAAAAACATCCCTATTGGGTAACCAGGTAAGATGTTACTCTCTCTCAGATAAACGGACATGGAATAAAATAATTCAGATGTCCAAGAGTGGAGTTGAGAACTAAGTGCAAATGATCTATTCCCTCATCCATCTATCCAACAAATCACAGAAATATGCAGTGAATAAACTATACTCCTATGTGATACAGTAATCTAGTAAGAACATACAGCAATCTAATAAGAGCACAAAGTAAACAGAAGGGCAAAATGTATTTTTCAAAAGGACTTTTCAACAAAGCATGCTGCAAAGCCATTACTGTACAAGTGGTATCACAGGTATAGAAGCAAATAGGTAGGAAGGTGGGTGGTAAATGGATAAATAAATCTAGCTCATTACCTTGCTCCCTGGGTAGAACACTTTTCAATAAGAAAATCTCACTTATGTTCCACATTAGGTTTTAAAAACACTACATACCCCATTAGAAGCCAGGACATCTTCTGTTTCTTCATCTTTGCGGTTGGCCTGGATTTCAAATGGATTCCCATCACTACAGTACTGCTCAAACAAGGTCACTGTTTTTGAGGATGTTGAGGCTGGCTGCTTACTAGGTGAAACTGATGGGGAACGAGACTGTTCCATGAATTTAAATTCCTAGACATTAAAAAAAGGAGCCAGATACCTTTTAACAACAATAATAAAATTCAAGTACATAACATATTCCATCAATATAAATGTTGAGTTAGTGATGAATCAGGATTATTCACTTTTAAATCTTGGAAGTTGTCTGAAAGCACAAACTTGAAAATATGTGCTCAAAGGTTTGCCTAAAGACAACTCAGTTACCGATATCACTTTAAAAAGTGTTATCTGCATCAAGCTACTTTTGGCTTAGTTTACAGAACTGTACAGAAAATTTTTGAAAATAAATTTGAATTCTAAAAATTTTAGCATAGCAGCAAAGACCTAGTAGAGTATGATTTTAAGCAATAAAAAGGCCACAATAAAAATAAATCATTGTTAATAATTAATTATATGTTTATACCATTTAAGGTACTGTATTCTGTAAAAACACATTAGAATCTTTGTTATATTGATGTCTATAAACTTTCATTTCTTTTTCTTCATACACCTAGAAGTAGACAACACAAACACACATGCTAAAGTCAAATGATATGTCTTCCAGACCTAAGGTTTGCCATTAACCCATGAACTTCCCATATAATGTTGGAAATGTCTCTGTGCCTCAATTTCTACATCAATAAAATGAGAAAGTCAACCTCCAGTACAAGAACCACAATGCTAAAACTAAAGAGCTGTTCCCAGATGAGGAAACCAAAGTAGTCCAGAGGGATTCAGTGCCAAGTTCAAGACCACAGCGCTTATTAGTGGAAGAGATGGAATAATCTCTAAAGTTCCTTTGAGGGGCACCTGGGTGGCTCAGTCAGTTAAGAATCTACCTTCAGCTCAGGTCACAATCTCAGGGTCCTGGGATCGAGCCCCACACTGGGCTCCCTGCTCAGCGGGGAGCCTGCTTCTCCCTCTCCCTCTGCCTGCAGCTCCCCCTGCTTATTCTCTCTCTGTCAAATAAATAAATAAAATCTTAAAAAAAAAAAAGTTCCTTTGAATTACAAAACTCTTGATGATTTTTCATAAAAATCTGGTACACATTTTTCTTATACCTTTTAGTCTTTTTAATGTTAATCCCAAATTTAAAATCTTTCCTATTCAAAGATAATATTAAAAATTACATATGTTTAAGTTTCAAATGATGTGTTTATTTTCTGTCTAAATTGCAGTTACACATTAAATCAGATCCATCATAATGCTCAAAAATTATGCCATTATTTTATAATTCTAAACAGGGGGTGACTCTAATTTAATGAGATGATTTTTTTTTTAAACCGAATCTACAGGAGCACAGGTGTCAAGAGAACACTATCTCAGTTGTGAATAGTTTTCAAAGTAACTACTTTTTAAAATTGTTGTTAGAACACTTAACATGAGATCTACCCTCTTTTTTTTTTTTTTAAAGACTTTATCCACCCATTTGACAGAGACACAGCAAGAGAGGGAACACAAGCAGGGGAGGTACAAGAGGGAGAAGCAGGCCTCCTGCTGAGCAAGGAGCCCGATGTGGGGCTCGATCCCAGGACCCTGGGATCATGACCTGAGCCAAAGACAGATGCTTAATGACTGAGCCACCCAGGCGCCCCTACCCTCTTTAAAAAAAAAAAAAAAAAGATTTTATTTTTAAGTAATTTCCATATCCAATATGGGGCTGGAACCCACAACCCCGAGATTAAGAGTTGCCTAATCCACTGACTGAGCTAGCCAGGCGCCCGAAGATCTATCTACTCTCTTAAAAAAATGTTTTAAGTGCATAATATGGTATTGTTAACTATAGGCAAAATCTTGTAAAACTCAAGGTAACTACTTTAAAGGAGATAATGCTTACTTGGATGGAAATATTTCAAATGTATCTTGTAAAAAACTGTTTGATAATTACACCAAGTATATGTGTTCATACATACAGACATAATTTGATGGTTAAATAAAAATTCAAGTAAAAATATTTAAATAGGGATTCTAAAATCAATGTTAGAATTCTAAATAATGTCAAGGAATCATCTTATTTAAGAATTCTAAAATAATGTTGGGGCGTCTGCGTGGCGCAACTGGTTGAGCATGCGACTCTTGGTTTCAGCTCAGATCGTGATCTCAAGGTTGTGAGATTGAGCCCTGCGTCAGGTTCCAAGTTCAGTGTGGAGTCTGCTTGAGTTTCTCCTTCTCCCTCTGCCTCTCCACCCACCCCTCAGCCCCCGTGCACCCTAGCTCTCTCTAAAATAAATAAACCTTAAAAAAAAAAAGAATTCTATATCAGACAAATTAGATTTTAAACAAAAGACTATAATAAGAGATGAGGAAGGACACTATATCATACTTAAAGGGTCTATCCAACAAGAAGATCTAACAATTGTAAATATCTATGCCCCTAACATGGGAGCAGCCAATTATA